GAGTTTTTATTTGTCTTTAATAATTTTTTTATATTTAATTAATTTTTGTTAAATACAGCAAAATTAGATACATCTTCTTATGTTGTGACATTTATTTATTTGTCTTGCAAAAATCAATAAAAGTACTCTATATTTTGAGTTTTCAAAAATATTTTTAAAATTTTTAATTCATTTTTTTAGTAAATTTTTTTAATATTGTAATTAAGTTTTTGATTTTTTTGATCTGGCTCAAGTAGATATAAAATTTTAAAAATAAACATATAAATAAAAATAGGTTAAAAAAATAAAAACGTTCACTATAAAAAAATATATGAATTGAAAATTCAAAAAACTACACTTGAAAACTCCAATCAATAAAAATTGAGGGCTGCTAAACGCCCTTACCTTTCTATTGTAGATCTCCTGCTTCTTTGGCCTTCCATCACAAAAATTGCTTCCCTCCTTAATTTTCTTTTGATCCCTACCATAATCTCAAATATACCCTTTGAACCTCACCCGCACACTTTCTACTTGTAACTCCTCCTACCATAATCTCAAATATACCCTTTGAACCTCACCCGCACACTTTCTACTTGTAACTCCTCCTCATCTTCTCCGGTAGTCCCCCTTCCACTCCAGCGACCCTCTCTCTCCGGCCAACTAGTTTGGAATAGTATTCTCAAAGATAGATTTATTCCTTCTGGTCTAGATTTGATCATTAAACAATGGCCAATAATGATCATTCAACAAAACTTCAACGTCAATAATTATCAGATTTGATTCAAATCTTTGACATATATATTTAGGGTAAAATTGTCTAGAAAAAAGAAAAAATATATATTAATATGTCTTTTATGAAGAACACGCTTCTTGTTCAAGAGGTTTAAGAAATAAAATAGTTTAGATTGTCCTTCACATAGTAACATGTTGGGCATAGAGAATTTTGGCTAAATTTCCCTAATATTGTTGACAAATACTGACTTTATTTTTTATTTTTGTCAAATAAAGAACATGATTTTATGGATAGAAATAAGACGTACAACTAAAGACGCCATCACCAACCCAAGAATAATGCTTGGGACCCCCTTTTGGGGGTCACCCCCTCACCCCCTTTGCCACGTGGCAGGGGGTGATTGGAGGAGCAGGAAAAAAAAGAAAAAGAAAAAGAAAAGGTAACCAATGAGAGAGAGAGGGGGTCAAAGGGGGTGGGGGAAAAAGGGGGGATGAATCATTACTCCATTGTTAATTGGAATCTCATATTGGAACGATTTGGTGCAATTTATGGGCTACTAGTATAATTTTCTTTTCTTTTCTTTTTTAATTTGTTCAAGAATTTTGGTGTCACTTTTGCTTACATTTCATAAGAAAAAAAAAAAAAAAACTTGAATAAAATGAAAAAATATATAATTTTTGAATAGCAAAACAAAAAAAACAAAAAAGTAATTTTAATTTATATTTTTTGATTATCCAATTTCAACATGTTAAAATCTACACCAAACATAGTGATAATAGTCTTCAATTGAAATAGCCTTAGCTACAATTTTGTTTTATTGTGTTGGTTTGGGATATAAAATCATGTGATTAGACTATATATTGGGAGCAAACAACCAAGACATTAGTAGCAATTTCACCCTTCCGTGTTCTATATCTTGGCTTATCTATTGCAGGAACATGAACCCTAACATAAGTTCTATCTAGAGCTCCAAGACAATTCTACAAAGGTCAAAATAAAATAAGGTTATTCATTTTAAATATGTTAGTGTTTGCCCAAAACAAAATGAAATTAAACTATGTAATACCTAAAAGCACCTCCATCTATCATCTGTGCAATTTGCAGTTGTTGGCTCTGGTGTCTTAAGTAAGACACCTTCTAGGCATAAAGTAGTCTTAAGGACATCGTTAAAGTACTGACTAACTGTTTGCCCAGACCGCATGAAATTGAACTTGATGTTGTGATTCTTATAGTCGTGTGCAATCACATTTAAGAACATTGCAACTTTCTCCTATAAGAGGATATATTTGGAATCAGATAATCCCACACTTTGGACAAGTGTACAAAGACACATGAAGGTATGCCTATTCACTCGGAGTTATTCATGACAATCAATATCGCTATCCTTCACCAATCTATTCAAATAGTCTAATTGTGCTTAGAAGGGTGTGGTGACCTTTTAATATCCAACCTAGGTTGGTACCTCTCCAAGGCAACATGTAGTACAATAATGTACACACCACATACATAGTTAATAGATGACACAACTTCTTGGAGTGCTACAAATGGTTCAAATAGGTCCATCGTACTATCCGAGCATTCATTATTGTCCATCTACAAATGCTTCAACTAACACATCAGATCTAGTTAGTGTAAGAGATTAGAACAACATGTAGTTCTGACGGGTACTGAAACAGCTCATTCAAAAACATATCTAATACAGTAACACAAATGCATAGTAATTGGAGAGAGAGAGAGGATCACAATCTATGTTTAGACAAATTTTCACTCTCTGATATTATTATTATTATAAATGAAATGACCCAGTAACTAAATCAAAGTCCATAGGCTTATACTAATTTTCCCATTATGACTGTTGTAGAGTAAAAGAAACCCAGAAGCTAGGAAATGAAATGAATCGAACCCATCTCATAAAAAGAAATTGGAAACACTTGGTTCCCATTTTGAGTGTATCATAACACTATTGTATACTTTCTGCATTGAAACAAAAAAACCAATGCCTTGGATTTAAAATAAATAATAAGTAAGTATTCTATTTCATGTCCAACAAAGAGAAGGCACTGGCGTGAAACTGAAAGATCAAATTTGGAGAAATTTGAGGTCCGGTTATGTTGCTAACAAAATCCGTAAATGCAATAAGGCACTGCCCTCGCCAGTTCCCCAATAAAACTCTGCATAAAAGAAGCTACCAGATAAGCTATTAGCTCCCAAAAGATTGCATTAATTCAAGTTTTGTTTGACCTGTAATTATGGATGTAATCTCAATGTGGATAAAAAGCTTTCAGCATGAAACACATCATTCATTACTAGGTGAATTATCTAACAAAGATGAAGCTACCAGATAAGGTATTAGCTCCCCTAAAAAATAAAAGGAAAATCAAATAAAGAAAATTCACAACTCAATCTCTGATGTCCTTTTATTTACCACATACAACACTATAGAAGTGTTTTCTATTTTCAGTCTTGCTCAGCCACTGAACCCCACATCAAAGTTCAGTTAATCAATCCAGAGCCTAAACATATTTAATGTGTTAAAAATTAATTGATTCAAGCATGCAAATTCGGAATTTTACAAAACTAAACAAACAGAGAGAAGATTAAAACATGAAACACCATTAAAGCAGAAAATGTAGAATTACGAATATTTCGCAATCTCCACCTTGACCATGGAGAACCATACTCGTCTACTCACTTTTGTATGATTGTGTCCAAAATCAACCCAATCTCACACCAGACCCTTTTAGGGGCAAGTTAAATGTTATTTTTAATGGTTAACAAAAATTAGAATTGGGCAGTTTATTGTGAAAATGTATGAATAACCAAAAGGAGAACACAATTAAAATTGTGTTAAGGTCTAATTGTGCAAGTTGACTTTGTAGAAATATGATGAACTAAGCCCTAGGTTGTCCTCCCAAAATTTTTATAAAATCTCAATCCATAAGGGTTATGATTTTGAAAGGAAAAATAAATAAATAAAACAATGTTGCAGAAAATGTCCTAGCTTTCTCACCTCCAGACAATCACTATGCAATTGTTATTGGCTTTGGAATTTTGGAATATTTGAAGACTTTTGACCATAACAATTAGATGCATCATAGGGCTTCTAAAACTTAATCTGCAAATTGACATCTTGCCTTTGACATTTTTAAGTTCTTAAACTAAGACCTAGCAACAAAGCAAATCAACAAGAAAAAAAGGTCATCTCATAGGTGGGAAGTACAATTCAACAATAACATTCAAGAGACAATGTCTACACGAAAACTAATAATCACAACTTGAGATTAAAAATTAAGTTCTAAAATGGAGAAAACTACCAGTGATCAAGCCAGAACTGAACTGAAACAGACAGCAGCTAAACTCCATAGGGTTTCAAAGAAGAATCAAAGTGAAAGTTACAAACACTTGATGGGCAATAATCAAACACTTCATGAGCATGTTCCAATTGTTTATGATGAGTTTCTCACTTGAACATAGAATCAAACACATGGTGAGTAGAATTTTAACAATAGAATCAAACATAGATCTAGTATATAATATATCAAAACCATCAAAACATTATTACAAATACATAGATCTATGTATATATACACAAATACATCTCATAAATTATGACAATGATGATTTATCATAAATTTTGAACCAAACATGTAAAATTAATTGTTGAAACAGATAAAAAATCTCGAAAAAATAAATGGCGAAGATGATAATCTCACCGGTAATGAGAGTTTTTTAGTGCTGACGGTGAATTTTCCAGCAAATGAAGGCTGAACTCGGCACACCGAGATGGAGCAAATCTGCTGTGTCTTTGCTGTGTAGAGATGATTTGATTTGGCTTACATTTTTGCATATATAGTCAGGAGTAAAATAGTCTTTTTACTTTATTTCCCAATTCAGGATATATAATCTCGCCCCTATCCCATTACTAATAATCCTACAAATTTGTTGGATTAATAATCCTAAAACAAAATGTCAAAACAAACATAGGATAATTGGACTCACAGATTAATAATCTCAATCCCATACTCTAATCCTGTCAATCAAACATACCCTAATTCTTTTGGCTGATCAGTTTTGTATGTGTTCAATTTGTTCACTATAAATCCTACAAACAACTTATTAATTATGATAATGTTAAGTTATTATTTCTTAACATATGTTGTTGCTTTATGTTTGCTCCATTGAAGAAAACTTTTCCCTCTCAATTCACCTAAAAAATTGCAATTAACTTCATAGGTGGTGGAATGAGATATTCTACTTGTACATAAACTTGGGTTAGGAGATGAGCAGAATAACCTTGAAAGCTTTTAATTTTTATTTATCACACAATAATACAATACTGTTTGTTTCCATTCAATTTACAACACTGTCCTTAAAATGGTTCTTCCAAACAAGTTGGATGAAGATCATAATCACACACATCACAAGAGAATGCCCAAAACCTTCCATGCTTTCTGCAAAAATCACAGACATATGCTTTGGCCATGTCCAACTTAAGAACATGCTCGTGCTTTGGATCCTTCACATGGTGAGGCAACCCGTCTCCTTCTTTTCTCATATCCGCTTCAAGCTCTGCAATTTTGCGCTGTGTAAACGGGAATGCCCTAGCACCATACAAGGACACCATGGGCCTTCCATTCGTGCTAATGGTCTTGCCATCCGGTCCAACTAGAACCAAAGCTGGAATCTTCTTGATGTCAAATATCCTACAAAGATCTTGTCGTGTCTTGTCCTCCTCATATGGGATAGCCAGCCAAGGCATGTTGCGGACATGGAGATCGAATTCTTTAGAATCTCTATCAGTTGAGATAAAAACTATTTCAAAGCTTTGGTATGGAGCTGTGAGGAGGAGCTCGTTGTAAGCTTCTGTAAGTTGTGTGGTGAAAGCTCGGCAAGGAGGGCACCAATGTGCTCCAAAATAGAGGCCTACTGTCTTGCCAACAAGTTCGGATACCCACATCTGCAAAAGGCCAAAACAAGTAAAAATTACACCTAAGAAGCACAGACACAAATATAGATATGCAAATTTTCAAAAAACATACAAGACATGACACACAGAGCATGTACAAAACATAAAATTTTATATATTTATTATGTCATATATATTCTTATCGATGTGACTGCAAGCATGAGTGCTGTCCAGAACATGTCCAACAAGTGTTTGGAGCGTGTCCGGTGCGTGTCCATGTCAGACGCCAGTATGTGACATCCACAAAGGTGTCCATGCTTCATAGCCTATAACAAAGGAGGCAAACAAATTAGTAGGATAGATCACTACCTCTCTGCCATGTCCAGAAATGAGGTAATTCCGCCCTTCATAAGCCAAAAGTTCTTCTAACTTCCCCCCTAGACGCTTCGCATCATCTATGGCTTTCAACTCCTCTCTTCTCTCCCTGGTGAAAGGAAATGCATCGGTACCATAGTCTGCAATCAATGCAGCAGCATCTTCTTCCATTGACATACCATCTGAACCCAATGGTATGAATGATGGGATGTGATCAATGTGGTAGTGGTTGCTAAGCCGCCTATGCAAATTTACATCAAATGGAACTGCAAGCCATGGCATACACTTGAAGTGTTCTTTGAATCCTTCCTCATCTCGGTCAAAGGAAATGAAGATAATCTCTATCTTTTTACCCAGTTTAGTCAGCTGGTTATATAGTTGTACCAACTGTGGAGTAAAGCTTTTACATGGTCTGCACCAGTTGGCTGAGAAGTATAGGCATGTTGTCTTGGAATCACTTGATAAGGGTACCTAATTCAGGACCAAATAATTAATGAAATTCCATTTTAGTTCCCTTAGCCAGATCAATAAATCCATTAAACTTGTTTGGCAAACAGTTTTTTAAAACTGTTATTCAAAAACCAGTATTTACCATCTCCTTGGCAACCACCAAAGAGATCATGTAAGAAAATATTGTGAACATTTCGTTAATATAGCCATAGTTCAACAAACATTTTCGTTAATATAGCCATAGTTCAACAAACATGTCAATGAGATTGGCAATAGCCATAGTTCAACAAACATGTCAATGAGATTGGCAAAATTTGTGTTCAGATAGAGGAATTGCAAGATGATAAGATGGAAAACCGGGAGATAGATTATATGTCCAACAAAAAAACATGTTATTGCATAAACGAAAGGCACTTGGACTGAAGGCCTACCTTTTCTTCACCACGTAAAAGAAATTCGACTCCCTCGGATGCTATAATTGTTGAGATATTCTGTGCCTTTTTACATTCTGGTTGATCATCAGGTCCCGCCATGAGAGCAAAAAGAAACAACCAGCGCCCACCTTTATTCTTTTGTCCACCTTTCTCGAGTACTATGATCAAGAGAAAAATCACAGTGACAGAAGACTCAGAATGACGAAGGTTTCTGCAAGTCTGTCAAATCTTTTTGTAGATTTGCTTATTTTTTCACATGTATAGTGGTTCCTTATAAAGGTTCTTCAAATGGAATAACATAAAGTTCTCTTGAGGGAATTTTGAGGTTTCTTTATTTTTTATTTTCTTATCTTAACCATTCTACTTATCAATAGGGATAGGTAATATTCTGTTATTGTGCTTTTAAACATTGGTTTTAGACTGGTTTTGCCGAAGAGATATTATCACACCAAATTTTATATATATTTTTTAAAACTAAATTATCCATACGGCTAGAAATGGTCCACACTTTGCATCATAGTATCTCAGTACAATTTGGCAAGTGGGTTGGAAAAGATGGAATAAGATGCCAACAAGTGAACAGATAAGTTGTTTTTGCATCAATGCCAAATCGGATGGCCTTCCTAGCGACTAAGGCAGGTAATTTTGGTATCTCACTCATCTCTCCCATGTCCTCCTAACAGGCATTCTTTCAAACAGAATATTGCATTACAACATTTCCACTATTTCCTCAAAAAAGTACGTAAAAAATGACAAATGGTCACAATAATTACTGTACAAACAATATTACTTCCACTAGGGGAACACAAAAAAATTAATTGAAAGAGAGGCAGAAAATGGCCATCACAATTTTGAATATAATATGCTATGGACTCACTCATTTTACATGTTTTGAGAAACAAAATGGTATGAATTTCAAGAGCAAGATAAATACTTTGGTTTTTCTTTTTCCTTTTTTCTTCTTCTATGAATAATTGCAATAAATCGTCAAAACTTCAGATAAGCAATTGAATTAGTAACTTGGCCATCTCACAAAGTCACTAATTAGTATTAGTAAATGCTAAAAAATAAAATAACAAAACAGAAAAAATCTATGACATGGCTAAATCTATGTTTTAAGGACAAGCTTGTAAACTTTATATGATCCCTTACTCAATAACAAGTCACGAGTCATGCCACAAATCCATAAATAATTTACAAATGTGATTGAGATTTATTATACATGTGGACCCACTATACATTCATTTAATCTCCACTGTTTATCTGCATTTTGGGTAATTTCTGGTACCCATTTTCTGAGTTCCCAGACTAATCTATATATATATATAGAATCCAACTCATCTTTTATATATGTATATATATATATTTTTTTATTTATTTTTAAAAAAAAAAAGTGAGAAATTAAACTTTTTAAATATTGATCGGCCGAATGAGTCCTCCAGCCAACAGGGACAACCGATTGATTATATCCAACTGATAATTAAGAGCATCTCTAATCCTTCAAATGTGAATTTGATGAAAAAGTGCTAACAAACCATCACCAATCCTTTCATCAAATATTCATCAAATTAAAAAATTGAAATTCTTCATCATTTTAATTTGATTTTTTTTTTTTTAAATCAAATTTGATAAAAAGGCAAGTATAGAATAAGAGAATAATTTTTAAAAAATTAGAATAGTTCCTATCGAATCAAGCTTTTAGTCAAATTTAAAATCAAATTCAATGAAACAGTGCAGATAATTCGGCAGCTGACGAACAACAACTTCCGATTGTGTTTCCAGTTTGTTTTGACTTTTACAAAACAAGTTGATAAATCATGGAGAAGGAAGCAAAGTAATTGTAACAAAGAGAATAAATTGAAAGAAATATAATTAGGATAAGTACATATACATACATGCATACATACATACATACATACATACCTGTTACTAGTAATGGATTTTCTTCGCTTGTATGTGGAGTCTGATATAAGTGGAAGGAGATGGAAAGTCCAAATTCCAACAGAAACAGAGATAGAAAGAAGCAGTGGTCCCAATTAATGGGAATAGATACACAAATGCATGGATATATGTCTGTATAGTACAAAACAATGGGGAAGAAGATAAAAAGGGAGATATATGTGCTACTTAGAGGTGTGTTTAAAGGGTGAGGGGAGGAGAGCACATACGCAATCCTGATTAGCTGCAGGTATATTCTGCTCTCTCTGTTTCGTATTCTCTTATTCCTCTCTCTCTCTCTCTCTCTCTCTCTCTCTCTCTCGGAAAATTATTTGGAATTCATTTGTTTTTTTTCTTCTAACAAATATAATATAAATTTTTAATAGGATTTGACTTCTCCCATTTAAAGGTTAAACTGGACTAAGGCCCCGTTTAGGCCTTATTTTTTTAGTTAAAAAATTTAAAAGTTATCTTTTTAATTAAAAAGTTAATAATTCATATTAAAAAATTAAAAAAAAAATTCTCTATTTTTTACACATTTTTTTATAATTAGTCAAAAAATCATTCCAAACGTATAAGTTTTTTTTACTTACTTTTTTAGTCAAATAGTCAAAAAATTACTAAAGTGCCTATGATATAAATTGTTGTTGTGAGGCTAACATGTAATAAACTGTAAAGGGGATTAATTTTGAGTTCCATTCCTTCCGATTGTTGTTGAACGGATCATCCACTCGATTTGAGGTTCTATCCTTCCACTTCCTTTATAATCCATTTTTTGGCTCCTTTTTTGCATATTTATTAGCCTCTTGTGTGCTTCTGTTTTGGGACTCATAGTTCCGAACTGAAAATGGCCTTTATTTTTGAACCCCCTCTTCATATTTCATTGAGGGTATTTAACTTGTTTGAGGCATCCTTTTTGTTACTGTTGTGTATATAGTTCTCTTTTTGGCCTTGTTTATGGACATAGTATTTTGAGCATGCTTTGTGGTACATGTTTTTTGGCTTTCGGTCATAAACCGAAACAAGGTCATATTTTGGCCCCGATTCAACATTGTTGAAGGGCCCTCCATCTTTTGGGGCCCAGAAGCTGTGACTGCTTCATTCTATCTCACATTAGGGCCATTTTTTTTGTGCGTACGGTTTAAGCCCATTTGTGTTTGCTGTCATTGGCCTTACTTAACTGAAACATATTTTTTGGGGGCTGGCCTTGAATCTGCTTTCATTACTTCATCGTACAAAATAATGCTAATGCTCTGAGTGTGAGCACCCAAAGCTCATTCAATGCGCTTAGTTTGGTGACGAAGATTTTCCCGGCAACCGCCATTCCCACTCTCTGCTCGGGTTGCTCTATATGTCATGATTCGAGGCCTGGTTCCGAGTCATATTTTTAGCGCTGAAAATAATTTGTGCCCATCGCCCTATCATGCCAACTCATATCTCCGAAGTGGTCCGCCGTCTCCATTCGCTCCTTCATCTGCGTGCCTAGTCACCGGCGTCCGTAGTTATTAAGAGAACCCTGAGCCCACAACTCATCACTAAGAGACACCATCCATTCCGGTTTGCCCCGTCGCAGCATTCCCTGCGTCTCTCGTTGCCGCCTTACCAGTGGTATCGCGTCCAGGAGGCAATCGGTCGCAGCTCCACGTGTGTGCCTGCTACTTCTTCACTCTACATACCGTCGGCTTCCTGCTGGGGTGGGTAGTTCTGCCGCTTTCTCACTCAAAAGCTTCCACCGTCCCCGGCTGTAATGTCCCACTAGCTTCCCTACGTACCGGGTGATATTCGCTGGCGTAGCTCTCCATGTTTATTATTTAGCTTTATACCCGCATTGCGTATGCTAAGGTGTATGTTTAGTTGCATTATTATGATGGATATGCCAGCTTACCTCGTTGCATCGTGATATGCCATTCATGGTATCATGTGCATGTTGCGTTGTTTTCTTTAGTGCATTTCATGATATCATGCATATGCATCGCTGCTTGGGATAGGACGTTAGGCCGCGGAGCACGGGAAACGAAGTACGTTTCGTACTCCAGAGTTGACGGAACGTGTTTCTCAATTTCCCATCGCCGGGACACTCCGGATATCATTGATTGGAGTCTGGGTTTTGTTTGTTTTCATGTGCATTCAATTTTATATGAGTTGACAATTCGACTCCTCGGGCCATTGTGCATCGAGATGTGGTGATTGCCTGGCACGAGGAATCGAGGCATGCATACAATTTTGTTGAAAATACATTGCCCATGCCCTTCTTCTGCTCTTTTGTTGCAAGCAAATTCAAGGAATCAGCAGTCTTTCTCGGGCATGACGCGCTTTCCAAGAAATCATTACAAAACAGAGGCTAATTTGGGGGCATTCGTAGTGGATTTTCGTTGCAAAAGGCAACCCGAGCAGCTCATCCATCACCGGAGAGAGCTTAAGGCAGTCCCGACTTGCATTGCCAGTTTATTGTTTTCCTAGTTTAATTTGGTTAATTAATTGGCGGGTTTTATACATATTTGGATGTATTATTATTTGGACACTGTAATAATTTTATTCGGGACTGTACTTATTTATTGACGACTCTCTGCCAGAGGGCATAACTGTAATAAGGTGCGTGGGGTTGATGTTATGTCTATCAAAATCCCACGGTCTTATTCTCCTTTAATTTACTCGCTTATGATGGTTAGATATAGGCCATGTGTTCAATTAGCATACAGGATATGACAGCATGTCTTTTCATTCATTTCAAGCTTATTGCATGCACCGGGCTCGGCGCATCATACTAACTGCATTATATATTCAATTCCAAGTCTGAATAACATGGTTAGTGTTGCATCTATATGGTATGTTACAATAGCCGAGCCTGCTATTAGTTGCACTTTGCATGCTGCTTGCATTTAGGCATTTCTTGTTATTAATTCAGGAACCATGCATGGATTTCTTAACTTAGTATTCTGTTTTTGGTTGGAGTACTTGGTAAGTTTTATGCCCTTTAGCATCCTTGGCATGTATGTGAGTGACTGCAAAGAATAGCATGCCTTACCAATGAGCTATATGCTTATGTGATTAACTGCCTTGAATGGCCTATGATGAAGGTTGGGCTTTTTAAAATTGGAACAAATTCATCAAAATTTTGGTATGTTTTTAAGGCCCACATAGATTAGTGGCAAAAATCATGTTTCTAAGTCCCCGAGGGTGGCCAATAATCCACGTCCTTAGCCTACTTTGCGGGGTCAATCTACAAACAAACAAACTTTAGAGCACGACTAGCACATCAAAAATAATCAAACCATTTTCAAAATAAAACAAACATGAAATGTTTTTGTTCAAATTCAGGCGACCCAGTCTATACTTGTATGCTGTGCGCATCACATAGTAAATCTAGAACTAATATACCGGAATAAGAACACACAATGTTTTTCAAAAATAGATTATCATGGTTTAGTAGAGGCCCGATCTTTATCGGACGAGCGGGGGCTCACGAAGTGATCCTTCCCCATCGTACCAAGTTCCCAGCCGAGGGCAACTTTGGTGATGACGGACACGTGGTCTTAGGCAACGATCAGGGTTTCCAAATTTCTCCAAAATAAATAATTTAGGTAGCGACTCTGTATCTGGCAAAGCAGTCCATGTTTGACACTTCTTTCAAAATCTGTTTTCTTCAAAACGATTTGCCGGATTTGGACTCTTTGGTTCAAGATTAAGAACGTGACAATTTGAAGAGTCCTAAGCTGTAGTGACCCCAATATCGAACGAAACGGGGGGACTCGTTCCTCCCCGGGGGCATTCGGGGACGCCTACAGCGGCCCATGGGCGGCCCGGGGCAGACCCGGTCCGGCCGTTGACAACGTGAATATTCACATTGATAAGAGTATAAAATTGGCCCGCGGCCCATGGACGGCCAAAAGCCCGCCCCGCCGGCCCGGGGCGGGCCCGGCCCGGCCCGTTGACAATGTGAATATTCACTGACATGTTAACATCACATTGATAAGAGTGTAAAATGGTCCGCAGCTCGTGGGCGGCTCGAAGCCCGACCGCGCTCGAGGCGGTGTTGGCCCGACCCGTGACAATGTGAATATTCATATTGGCATGCTAACATGCACATTGATAGGAGTGTAAAATTAGCCCGCGTCCCGTGGCTGCCCGAAACCCGTCACGGCCCGTGGGCGGCCAGGGGCGGGTCCGCCGGCTTGTTGACAATGTGAATATTCACATTAACATGTTAACATTCACATTGATAAGAGTGTACAATTGGCCCGTGACCCGTGGGCAGCCCGAGGCCTGACCTCGAGCCAGGGCGGGCTCGGCCCGTTGGCAATGTGAATATTCACATTGATAGGAGTGTAAAATTGGCCCGCAGCCATGGGCACTCGAAGCCCGATCGCAGCCCGAGGCGGGCTTTGCCCGACCCGTGACAATTGTGAATATTCACATTGACATGTTAACATTAACATTGATAGCAGTGTAAAACTTGTGCTGCCCGAAGCTCGCCCGCGGCCCAGGGTAGGCCTGGATCCAAACCCGGGCCACCCCGGCGCCCACGGGCTTCGGGCCGCGCATGGGAGCGAGTCAATTTTACACTCTTTCATGTGAATGTTAACATGTCAATGTGAATATTCATATTGTCAACAGGCCGGGCCGGGCCCGCGTCGGGCCGCCCACGGGCCGTGGGCACGTTTCGGGCAGCCACGGGGCACGGGCTAATGTTACACTCTTATCAATGTGAATGTTAACAGGTCAATGTGATATTCACGTTGTCACGGGCCGGGCCCGCGTCGCCCGGGCCTGGCTTCGGGCTGCCACGGGTCACGGGCTAATTTTACATTCTTATCAATGTTAATGTTAATATGTCAATGTGAATATTCACATTGTTCAACGAGCCGGCCCGGGCCTGCCCTGGTAGCGGGGTTTCGGGCTGCCCACGGGTCACGGGCTAATTTTACATTCTTACAATGTTAATGTTAATATGTCAATGTGAATATTCACATTGTCAACGAGCCGGCCGGGCTTGCCCTGGGTAGCGGGCGGGTTTCGGGCCGCCCACGGGCCACGGGCCAATTTTACACTCCTATCAATGTGAATGTGAATATGTTAATGTGAATATTCACATTGTCAACGGGCTGGACCGGGCTCGCCCCGGGCCGCCCATGGGACGCGAGTCAATTTTACACTCTTATCAATGTGAATGTTAATATGTCAATGTGAATATTCACATTGTCAACAGGCCGGGCCGGGTCCGCCTCGGGCCGCCCACGGGCTGTGGGCTAGTTTTTGGGCAGCCACGGGGCGCGGGCTAATTTTATACTCTTATCAATGT